AAGGGTACATACGCAGAGGGATCTCAGTGGCAATGACCAACAGGACCCAGTCTTGATGGTTACATGCTATATCATTTCATTTTTATGACATTCTGGAAAAAGTAAGACTTACAAGGATTGAGAACAAATCAATGGTTGCCAGTAGGGCTTGACCACAAAGAGCAGAATGGGTGAGGACTTTTTTTTTTATCTTGTTTTCTCGATTTTGGTGAAAGAACTGCTATCAGGATTTTGACAGTGGTTATAAGAATCTACGCATGGTAAAACTCATACAACTATACTAAAAATCAATTTTACTGTAATGAACTTAAATAATAAAACCATGAGAACATGAAATTACTCTAACACAGAAATAAAGATGAAGATTAAATTAATTTAAATTTATGGCCAGTGTACATTATTAAGAGATCTAAGGATATACAAAGCAAGTACAATGAAAGGGATTTTAAAATTCCATTTGGAATAAGCCAACTGCACAGACCTTGTTTCTAGAAAACTGTGGAAATGTGAGTACAGATTTGATGATACAGAATTTTGTTCATTAATGTTAGGTAGGACTGTAGTTACATAAGAAAAGAAATTTTCAGACAAAATTTATACTACAACGTTAGGGGGTGAAATGACTTCAAATTCTTTAAAAGCAAACAAAACCCCAAAACCCAAGGGCGGGCAGGAGAGCAAATGGCCGAGTGGGGCAAACCATGTGTGCTGTGTAGGTCTCTGCTGCTGTGGCTGGCACGTGAGTGTTTATTATACTCTGCTTTTGAGGAGGTCTGATGAAGTTCTTAACAAAATGCTTGAAAGAGGGACTTGAGATAATTTTAGATTATCAGGAAGGGACCTAAATTTAGTGGCCTGTACCTTATGGAGAGGAAGTGCCACGTGAAGACAAGCAGGCTTGGGCTGGTGAGATGGCTCAGTGGTCTAAAGCACCTACTTAGAACAAGCTAAGCTAAGCAAAGCACAGGGACCGCGGTTCAATCCCCCAGCACCACATGCCAGCTAGCCCCGCCCCCTGGTGGGCTGAGCTGGCCACATACACACAAAATAAATAAATAAATACATATTTTAAAAAAAAAAGAAAAAAAAAAGACAAGCAGGCTGAAGTCACGCAGCCACAAGCCAAGCTCTACCAGAGAGGCCAGGAAGGCGAGGAAGGATTTCCCTAGCAGCTGCCAGAGGGACACAGCCCTGCCCACCCTTGATGTCTCTTTCTGGACTTCTATGAACCATGAAAGAATACAGTTCTGGTGTTTTAAGCCTCCTGGTTTGTGGTAATTTGTAATGGAAGCCCTATAAAACCAGTACAGTCACTGAGTAACTCTCCTCTGTACCAGGTCAGGGTAGTCATGGCCTCCTGTTCCACATGTAACTATGTCAAAGTACTAAGAGACAGAGAACTGCTGTAGGAAACCACGGGCCCCTACTCACTGACCTGACAGGTAAAACAGTCTCAAGGTAGGACAATATTTTACCCTGACTAAAGAATTTTACCTGTTGGCTCAGTCCCATTTAAGGACCATGGGCCAAAGGAAGTATCCATTGGAATGGGCTGAACCAGCTCCCGTGGGGTTATGGGCTGACAGTTCCAGTGCTGTTATACACATACACGTGTACAGGTATGTGAGTGGCAGAGAGCAGGAGCCAGCCTTCTAGTGAATGGAATGCAAGGCAACACCCAAGACAGGGAAAAGGCTAGAAGGATCCATGTGGCAGTACACTCAAGCTGGAGTCACCAGTATGAATCCAGGGTTAGCTTAACACAAACACTGGTGGTCACATAAACAGGTATTTCCATATACACAGGGACATACACACACACACTGTTCTGTCAAACAAGAGAATATTCAAGCAGTTACAGCACAGCAGAAACAAGCACACCCAGCACTGGCATGTGGCCTCTAACACCATCCCAAGAAAATCCAGGGCCCCTCAGGAAATGACTGATTCTAAGAGTGGTCTGGAATTGTATTCGATGAATCCAGGGCATCATGGCCGTGTTCAAAACTGACTGCATAAGCAACCTGTCCAGTGATGGGCACCTGAAAGAGCTCCAGCGGCCAAGGCAGGAGCAATGTGAGGAATAAAACAGGCAAAGTAGCACAAATTATAACTAAAACATTCAACAAATGTCCCCGAGCCCATAATTAAATAAATGCAAGGCAACAGACAAACTTCCTGTGCAGAATTCCAAAGAGTTCACCAGGCTAGTCAAGGGGAGACAAAACTCCTCCCCTGAGGGTCAGCTGCTTGTGGTGGCTTCCTTTCACAGATGACAGTGGACAGAGGGAAAGAAGAGAGGCAGTCAGGGAGACCTGACATGCTACGTCAGCCAGGAGATCAAGGCCACTGGCAGTAGGGATGATGAACATATGCAGCCTTGAGGTAACACGACAGGAATGGCACTTTACACCTAACATCACCTTTCCACAAACCCACACCCCTCTCTGTGTGATGAAGGATACAGGAATGACTAGTTGTATCTGTGCTTTTGAGAACATGGATAGCTGGAGAGGGAAAAAGAGGCCTGGACCTAAGAAATACAGTAAGCCAGGCATGGTGGCACACAACTGTAATCCCAACAAAAGAGGCTGAGGTGGAAGAATCACAAGTTCAGGGCCAGCCCTGATTACACAGCAAGACCACGTCTCAAAAAAAGGAAAAGAAAAGAAACAAATAGACTTAGAAGTTACCAACGTGAACTATCTTACCTTGAACAATGTTTTTCCCTGTGACCGCTGAAATAGCTTCAAAACAACCATCAACCCAGACAGCAATGAGCACTCCTAAGGTCTGGATGGTGGTCTCTAAGTATCATTTTCCATTTTAAACTAAGCCACCAGAGCTCTTTGGAAAAATGGCTGATTGCATGTTTGGGGATGTAAATCTGACCAAGATTTCCACTTGCTATTAGAGTAACTAACACCAGAGGACTGTCTCTGCCTCATTCCTTCCCTAATCCATCTCCTCCCTTCCAGTGCTCCACCATCCTCGTCTTTTATTCCTTTAAATCTGTGGTTGGCAGAATGGGCCCCAAAGATGTCCATGTTCTAATCTCTAAAACTCATGAGTGTATTACTTTATGTGGTGAAATGGGACTAAAGTTAATGACCCTGAGGTATGGGCATTATCCTTGGCATTATCCAAGTCAGCCTGATCTCATCAGATGAATCCTGGAAAGGAGAGAACTGTTCTTGGCTCCTAAGAGGGTCAGAGAGGGGCTACACTGCTGGCTTTAAAGGGTGAAAATGAGTCAGGCAACATGGACATATCTAGGACAGAAGGCAAGAAAAAAAGATTCTCCCCTAGAGATATATCCTTAGTTTTTGAAACAGAAGGTTCAACATCATCCAGCTAGTACCAGTACTGGACCCCAGGCATCTGGCTAAGGAGCTGGTGCCCTTAACCCTGACATTAGCATCTGTTTCCTATGTAAAAAATGGAAGATCCAGACCTTGGTATTCATTAACACAGTACTCCTAGTGTTGAGCACAGAACTGCTTAATAAATAGGTAAGATGAGCAAAAGGAACAAAGATGGGTTCCCCTCACATCCTTTCTTTTGTAAACATTTTTTTTTTAAATTATGGGAAGCAGAATACACAGAAAATCAGCATAATGGTATGATTCCTCAAATATTCATCTCCCAACTCTGACACATTAGCATCAACTTCATCTTAATGTAGACACTGAATTAATTTGGTATTATCTGGGAGAAACAGTCCTCTTTTAACAGTCTTTTTTCTTCAGAATCATATATTCCTAGCTGCTATAGCTTGGGGGGCAGAGTGACCCTCGTGTTTATAGCCTTCCTAGAGCTGGGATTACAGGTACGCGCCACCAAGCCTAGTTTCAACTGCTGCCTGCTTGCAGGTGCTTTAATCCGCTGAGCTATTTGGCTGGCCCTTCATCACCCAAAGTTTCAAGTGCTAAAGGCTTGGTGGTCAGGGTGGTATTACTGGGAAAGGATGGACCCGTTAGATGAGCTGAGACCTTACAGGAGACTCCTGGTCCCCTCAGGTGTATCCTCAAAGGTGACTGGGGATCTCTGCTCTCTTCCTCTCTACTCCAAGGTTCATGGTTTGCTCTGCTACACAGCCCCAGGCACTGCCATCTTGAACATCCAGCCGAGGTCCAGAGCAGTGGGTCCACCTTATCTTTGTTGGGAAGCTCCAAAACCACAAGCCCCTGGCACACGCCTGTAATTCCAGCTCTTGGGAGGCTATAAACAGGTGGATCACTACGAGTCTGATCTAGTAGTGAGACCCTGAACACCCTGTAGACCCTTCCTTAAAATACAAAAACAAGAACAACAAAAAAATACACCAAAAAACAAAACCATGAGCCCCAAATAATTTTCCCTTTATAAGGGAATTATCTCAGGCATTTCACTACAGTGACATGAAACTGAGTAACAACTCTCATCTCAGGTTCATTTTTTTTTTTTGTATTTTAGGGAAGGGTCTACAGGGTGTTCATGGTCTCACTACTAGATCGGACTTGGAGTGACCCTCGTGTTTATAGCCTTCCTAGAGCTGGGATTACAGGTACGCGCCACCAAGCCTAGTTTCAACTGCTGCCTGCTTGCAGGTGCTTTAATCCGCTGAGCTATTTGGCTGGCCCTTCATCTATTGTTAATATGTTTTTTAAAATATCGAAACGAGCAGTTCCTTCCAAGCAAAATATAAAACAAACTATGAAAGGGAGACTGATATTTTCACTACACACAACTTAAATTTTCTAGAGGACAAAAACTAAACAAAGTACAAAAAAAAAAAAAAAGAGGGAAAATAGTTGTAATATATCTGAAGATTAGTATTCTTAATGTATAAATAATTCTTAGAAATCAATATGACCACAGACCAACAGAGGTAAACCTAATTTCCCCCTACTGTGTTTACATGACAAAAAGACACTTCCATTGGCCTGCTCAGCTTGCAGCCTCTGGGCTCTAGAATTCAGGAGTCAAAACATCCTGGAAAACAGGAAAGCTATTCTCACCTGTAAATTCATTCAAAGATGAGTTGCCCTTGAGTCCAGCAGCACAGTGAGGCTGCAAGTCTTAAAAACTTTTCGCTCCAGAATCCTTGTGCAGCACACAGGCGACATGTATGTCTACCTCCGACACAGACCAGAAAGCCCGAATGCCCAGCTCTCAATCCTGCTGGGGGGTGAGAAAAGGGAAAAACACTGAGTGTTTAAGAGGGCTAAAACCAAAATCAAATGGCCCAACCAAGCCCTCTTGGAAGGCAATGTCACACCCTGGGTTTGAATACGCAGAAGGGAACTATTTTCATTCTGTGTAAATCGGCTCCTAGCCCAAGGGGCAGAGAAGGGCTTGACTAGCTAGACTTCCCACTGACCTAGAGGGAGGGCTCAAAGTTCTCCACCTCCCTAAAAAATAAGTTATATCTCTCCTAAAATAAGGAAAGAAAAAGAGAAAGAACACAGTAGGTTTTCTGTCATCAGGCAAAGTACACTGTAGAAAAGCTCAGCTTCCACCGCGGTCAAGTCACATACATTTAAAATGTTAAAACTTCAAATTGCTTGGGAAGTAGACTTGCCAAATAGTGGTCGCCGCGCCTTTGGATCTAACCTCTAACTTATAGGAAATACAAGGGACGAAAACAGAGCGAGCTAAATCGTACTACACAAAAAGCAACCAAACAGATTCCAAAGATGACACTACTCAATCTAAAGTTACCATTTTCTCTTTAAACCCTTTTCGTGCAAATTCATGCTTTAGTTTTAATTTTCATTTCAACTACAGCAAGATCCCACAGTAGCCAGTGACACTAGGGCAAAATACTTCTGTACAAAAGCCCACTAATTAGGAATGAACTCTGTAAACTCAGCTTTTAAAAGACAAATGCTCTGCGGAAGGCGGGTCTGCCTCCTTAGGAACGTCCGGTTTATGGCAGCGCTTCCCGGGATAGGCGGGCTCTCCCCGTCCGCGCTTCAGTTCATTGAGTGGTACAGAAAAACGTACCTAAGCATCTGTATGTTTAAGACCCACATGGGTCAACATTTAGAAATGTTTAGTTTTTAATTAATTTGTCCACGGAACTTTTTTTGTTGTTGTTCCTTTTGTGGTACCGGGGACTGAACTCCAGACCTTGCGCAGGCCGGCAGGAGTCCACGCCGCTGAGCTATCCTCGCCCCTCCAACGAACGTCTGGAAAACCACCTGCTCCCTACAAAAATACGGTTCCAAGTCCGGCGAATGTTGCTTTTACTTCAACACTATTAAGCTCCGCTTGGAATCAAGAGGCGTTCAGCAGACACCTCGGCTGGGCTCCGAGGGCCACGCTGGCGGCGGCCTACCCCGGGCCGAGAACCCGACCGCAGCAGCCGGCCGCGGGGCGCCGGCTGCCAGCTCGCGGGCGTCGCCGCGGGCTCGAGGGACCCCAGCAAGGGACGCTAACGCCAGAAGCGGCTTTTAAATCTCCCCTGCTGGTTATGGTTTCCACACAGATAGCTCTAAAACTAAAAGCTGCAGCTTTCTTCTCAAGTTCCTTTTGCCGCTGCCGCCCGAGGGGCCTCCCCCGTTCACCAGAAGCCCAAGTGGGCGCCAGCCACCTCCAACGCCCTTGGCGCCCCGACTGTCCTGCGCGGCCTTCCGGCTGCAAACGCGCCCTCCAGCCGAGGGTCCGGGGCCAAACGCGCCCTCCGACCGAGGGTTCCGCCGTCAAACGCGCCCTCCAGTTGAGGGTTCCGGGTCGTGCGGCTCTCCTGTCCCGGGTCCCCGCCCTTCTGCCAGGAGTTCCCCCTACCCCAAGGACACCGGGATTCCGACTCGGGGACTCGGGGACTCGGGGGCGGAGCGCAGCGCCTCACCTGCTGCCCAGAGGGCCCTTCACTGCAGACGGGCGCGACCAGGAACGGAAATGCCTCGCAGGGCGGGAGTGGCCCCCACGCCGCCTTGGGCGGCGCCCCCTGCAGGCGGGACGCCGCAACGCAGGCACCGCGCAGGCCGCACCTGCTCCTGAGCGCTCACCTGCCCAGACGCCGGCAGGCAGAGCGGTCCAGACCGCTCGCTGGAAAGTCACTGCAGGCGCCGGGGCAACCCCGTCAGAGACTCGCGGACATTCCCGGGCATGTATGCTCCACCTTGAGCCCGTGTTGGACGCAGACACACCTGGGACACAACCACATCAAACAGACTAACGACTCCACAAACTTGGGGGCACACCACAAGCCACAACTCAGGCACACCTGCGAGGATTCCCGCATTACAGGTCCTCACTTACCCCTGAGACCTCGCACCTGCACCCACACGTGCACACCAGCTGCAGATAGTCATGTGTTCGCACGCCTCCTTCACTGATTCTCCCCATTAAAATGGGAAGAGGAATCAGAGATGGAGAGAGGGAAGGAAAGAAAAGAATTTAAAGAGGAAATAAAGAAAGTACTGAAGGGAGAGAGGGGTGGTGAGGAAATCCAGCTTTTGTAAATGGGAACTGGAAGGGGAGGGGCAAAAAAAAGAATTAGACAACAAAGGATGTTGTCTTAGTTACTCTTCTCTTGTTGCTGAGACAAACACTTGACACTCAAAATAAAGGAAGGAAAGGTTTATTTAGCTCACAGTTACTGGAGGTTTCATAGTTTAGAAAGCCTGAATGATGTAGCAAGATCTCAGAGCCTTATTTGCTCAGGAGAGAGGGTCAGTGCCTCCGTCTTCACCAACCATCTCCTCTCTGCACAAGGTGGCCTCAATCACAGACACTGCCACTCCACGTTACAGGGTCTGGAGGAGGGTGGGGTGCCGCCCTGTCCAGGATGACCCTCTCTACGCCTCCAAGGGAGGCCGCTGGCCTTGGAGTGGGCAGAGGGCAGGCTGCCAGGAGCAGCATGTGGACTTATTTTGGCCCCAGTGATTTGTATCCTCCTGTGTATGCTTTTTGGAATGGCAATGATTATCTTGTGCCTTTGAATTTTGGATGTATTTAACTTTTTATTTGTACAGGGGCTCATAGTTGAGAGTTTGCCTTGGATCTTGGAGGAGACTTGGGACTTGGACTTTTCAGCAGTGCCAAAACTGTTGGGACTTTGGCAACTCTTAGAGAAGGACTAAAATGCCTTTTGGACAAGGGGATGTGCATGAGACATTGGGGGTCCAGTGACAGAATGTTATGGTTTGTGTCTAGTTGACCCCCAAAGCCTCATGTAAGTCATGGGGCAGACCTGACTTGAGCAGTGAGTGGTTTGAGGGGCGCGGCCAGAGGACCAGGGTGGGACCAGAGAGGCACAAACCATTAAACTGGCAGCATGCGCTTGCGACCCCCCCAACAAGTGACACCCCCCACAAGCCCCTTTGCAGATATGGAGAGGGTCATCCTGGACACGGCAGTGTTCCAGTCTCTCCTCCAGTGTCTTCATACCTCCAGTAACTGTGAGCTAAATAAACCTTTCCTTCCTTCATTTTGAGTGCAGGTATTTGTCTCAGCAATGAAAGAAGAATAACTAAGACAGATATGTTATGTACAGTTGTCCAAACCATCCTGCTTACCTACATAGAGAATGAACTTATTCAAAAGGAGTTACTGAGTTGAGGAGAAGGGACAGGAGAGGGAGTAGGGATAGAGGCTGGGTAATTTATGAAGAACAGAAAGTCCTTTCTCAAAGTTCTGCAGGCTGGGTGCTCCAAGAGGGAGCCAAGGCAAGCTCTGGTGTTCGGTAGGTGGCACATTTGGTGCTGTCTCCTGCCACAGCAGAAAAGAGAATGAGCAAAGGAGAACACAGGCTCACAAGCTCCTCTGTAGATGCGTCAAACTGTGTTCAGGGGGAGCCCTGCTAGCCTAACCCCTTGGGGATGGACCCTGGGGACTGAACCCAGGACTTAGGCAGTGAACAACATCCCTTAACTCCCCCGCCCCCCAACTCACTGTATTTGAGACAGAGTTTTGAAAAATCACTGCATTCCCTGGGCTGGACTCAGACTCACACTTTCGATTCTCCCACCTTAGCCTTCCGGGGTGCTGGAATTTCGGGCATGTGACCTCTTACTCAGCCAACCTGATCGCTTCTTAGAGCCCTGTCTCCTAACACCATTATACTGGCAGTTAACCTTTAGTATGAGTTTTGGACATGAAAAGCATTCAGACCATTGCATCAGTTTTCCAGACCTGAATGTAAGAAAATAGATATCTATTTTATGTTTATATTTGACTAAATACACTGATGCTTAATACCAAGAAGAAGGAACGAACTGGGCTTATCTCCTTTTTGTCCCTTGTGCCTGCCTCCAGCATTGCAAATACCACACAGTGGGTAGAAAATTCTGTACCTCAGAGAACAGTGGTTATCACATGAAACAAACACAGAAAGGAAAGGCTATAAAGGAGTGTGCAGCTGAACTGAACAACACTATGAAAACCTACTGAAATATCATCTTCTTGTAAATCATGAAAAAAAATAATGTGTGGCCCTAACTAGCCTGCAGCCTACTTCCAACCTACCACTTATATCAATAGAAACTGAAGAAATTCAAAATGCAAGGCAGTAAGTTTCTCCTGAAATACAGCCACACCTGTCTGTCTCTAGATTCCTTGCAGCTGCTCCTCCCAACAACAGCAGAGAGGAGTATTGGCCACCAAGACTGGACGGCCTGTAGGGCAAAACATTTATCATCTGTCAGTTTTTTCACCCGGCAAACTTTGTGACTCCCGTGTATGTCTGTCTTGCTCTCTTGGAAGACAGGGTTTCACATGTAGCTTAGGCTGGCCTCGAACTCCCTACAAAGCCCAGGCTGGCCTTGCAGTGTTCCTTTTGACTCAGCCTCCTGATCACTGCACCATGATGCCTGGCTCCAGCTTCTTTTTAATCCCTGCTTCTCCTTTCTGTAAGGAGTGAATTTGTAGGGCAGTCCCGTTGGGCCCAACTGTCCTGAGCCCAGGGCTATGTCCTTTGTAAGTTTCAGGCATCTCATGCCACAGTAGAGTCCTTATTTAATATTTATTTAATTGGAGTTAGCTTTTTGATCTTTTTTTCCTGTGTAATAAATAATGAACTCAACAAAAAGTCTTCATAGTACCTACATATGTTTCATCAATTAGGCTAATTTAGAAAATGCATGTGTAAAAAATAGACAATCGAATATAATCTGTGACTCTGGGATTTCTTACTTCCATGTCTAACCCTGGCTCTAAAAATTTGTTAAATTTGAAAGTAGCAAGATCACTTTTGCTTTCTTTCCTTCTGTCCAGTTATTTTAATTAGTACAGCAATTCTTGCTGCTAAGCAATGTTCATGGCAAAAATTTAACAAGCAGAGAAAACTGGCATCATAAAGTTAAGTTCACTTACATTAAACTCAACCATGGTATTTCTGGAATTAATGTTTAAAAGATGATGCGTGCTGCTATTGGGATTTAAAAAATAATAAACCATTGGCCTTTTCTCCACCAAAGATATGCAGTATCTTTTCTAAAGAGTTTATTAAAATTTCTAAGCAGTTGACGTTGAAACGGTTTATTCTTGCCCATGATTTATAATTTCAGGAATAATAAAGACTAAACTAAAGCTCTGTATAGAATTATTTCATTAGCCTTGGTGAATTGTGTATAGGTGAATAATTTGTAAGAGTTTACAGAAGTAATATGACCTGTCAAATATGTCACTACCATGATCTAGCTAATTAATTATATTGCAAAGAATCACCACCATGCTCTACAGTGGTAGTTTCTTTTCTTGTGGCTGAGACAAAATATCCAAAACCCAAAGGAGGAAAGCCTTATTGTAGTTCATATTTTTTAGAGACTTCAGTTCATAGTTGGCTGGTTCCAACAGGGTGGCACAGCAACATTGCACAGGAGGAAACAGTCCATGGCAAAGCAGGCAGCAGTGAGCCTCTAGGCCATAAGCCTTTTGGGTGGGCCTTCCCAATCTCCACACCCAGAACTATAATAAACTAGTTGGTGGACTAATTTAGTTATCACTCCATTAGCCCATATTCACACACCCTTCACGTTCACACACCCTAGATCAGTGAAGGTGAAACTTAGAAATAAGTGCCCAAACAACAATCAAAAACCCACTTACTTGCTGCAATGAAAACAAAATACGAAGGTTTTGATTTAGAAAAAACAATTCATACATTAACATCATTTGCCTTCAAAGAAAATCAGCACACATGCTATAGGTTCAGCACCACTGCCATAAATTCAACTACTTCTAAAATGCCCCATCTATGAGCTCATGATGCTTTGTAAAAAAAATACATATATATAGTCCATCTCTAAGAGTTTCCAGAGTCCTAACAATTTCCAGCCTTGCTTAAAAGTCTAAGTCCAAAGTCTTCTTTAGAGATTTAAGGCATACTTTTAGCTGAGAACCCCTTTACAAAGGAAGAGAAAGTTAAACACTTCCAATATATAAGCTAAATATTCATGTTCCAGAAGGTACAAAAGGGGGATAAAAAAGAATGGGACCAAAGCAGTTACAAAATCCAACAGGGAGAACATTAAGTCCCATAGTTTTATACCCCGCATCTGGGCAATTTATGGCAAGCTGTGAACTCCAAAGCGTTTGGGTGGCTCTGTCCCATGGCACTGCCCAAGGTTGCAGCTCTTGTGGGTTCTCTCTTGGGCTGATTTGCTCACTCTTTGTCACTTTCTTATTGGTGATGCTTATTCCTGGCTTCTCCAACCTTCTGGGGTCTTCCACTGCACCTTAGGCTTCACACTCACAGCCTCACATGTTCCCCTCTCAGGAGCCCACTGCCTGGCTTCCCTGGCCTATTTCTGAAATCTGGGTAGAAGCCTTTCTGACCCCACAACACTTGCATTTTGCATGCCCCTGAAATCAACACCACATGTATGATGCCAGGGCCTTCCACCAGCTGGGACAGTAGCTAGCCTTCCTTCTCTCTTATCTTTAAGGACAAAGGGCCTGGATTGCTGCATACTATGAACCCAATCCAGAGGAATGAATTCTCTAGGCCACCATCATTGTGCAAAATGGTGCTCTGGGGTCTCTACTCAAAGTGAAGTGAGGCTGCAAAGGCTAGAATCCTCTGGAGCTTTTGATGTCCTCAGGTCATGC